TAATATATATATTTTTTTAAAATATATGAATATTAAATCTACATTTTAAGTCAGTAAGATTGTTTTAAAATAATACTTTTATTTAGCTAGTACACCTTAAATTGATCAAAAGTGACTGTAAAGATGTTTGCATTGTTACAAAAGATTTCTATTTCAAAATAAATGCTGTTCTTTTGAACTTTCTGTTCATTAAAGAAACCTGAAAAATGTTTTGCGGTTAATATATATATATATATATATATATATATATGCAACATCATAAACTTTAAATAGTCATAGTACTAGGGATGTGCGAGAATAGCCAACTAGTCGACTAAACTGAACTGCTACTGTTAGTCGACATTGGAAATACTAGCTGACTAGTTGTAAATGTAGTCATTTTAATGTTTCTTTAAAAAAAATAATACAGTATTTTTTAAAAAAGTGGATATCTGGAGCTGATAAATTATTTTCATTTCACCTCAGACCTTGTGTGAATGCGGTGTGCATTTTTTTTCGTGTCACTTTCGTGTGCTTGGAAGATGAGCATGTGTAGGAGCAAAGGCCTATTTACTGGTTTAAAGGGGGAAACATTATGAATAGGGTGACCATACGGGCCATTTTTACGGGACGTGTCCTTGCCAGGATTTCTGTTTTGCCTAAAATATTCACGTTTTGGCTGTTTGCACTGTGCAGATCGATTGTTGTATAACATTCATGAGAGCTATAGAAAGCAGAGCAGATGGCTCCTTGCTTTCGAATCGCTCTCGCGGTACTTTGGTGTCATTCAATGATCGGTGCGCAGCGACACTTCAAGTTGAACGAACGAACGAACAAACACGTGCACGTATGTGTCACATATGAAGTTCTGCTTGTCCAAAGCACCACCTAATGTCAGAGAGTGAATTTGCATTTTCATTCAGCATGTCTGCTGCTTTTGTTGCCGTCAGTGTTGTAAATTTTAATGGTTTGATGGAAAATAAGAACAACTCAAATAATAATGTATCTAGAATTATTTGACTGTTTGATTCATAGATTGAGTATTCCAAATGGATTGCATATACACACAAAGTGTTTGACTGTCTTCTGAGGGTTTCTTACTTTCAGAATAGTCGGTTACTAGGGCTGGGTTTTGACACAAATTTCACAATTCGATTAGATTCTCATTCACAAGCTTGTGATTCGAGTCAATTACCAATTTGATTCGATTCAATACAACATCATAAACTTTAAATAGTCATAGTACTAGGGATGTGCGAGAATAGCCAACTAGTCGACTAAACTGAACTGCTACTGTTAGTCGACATTGGAAATACTAGCTGACTAGTTGTAAATGTAGTCATTTTAATGTTTCTTTAAAAAAAATAATACAGTATTTTTTAAAAAAGTGGATATCTGGAGCTGATAAATTATTTTCATTTCACCTCAGACCTTGTGTGAATGCGGTGTGCATTTTTTTTCGTGTCACTTTCGTGTGCTTGGAAGATGAGCATGTGTAGGAGCAAAGGCCTATTTACTGGTTTAAAGGGGGAAACATTATGAATAGGGTGACCATACGGGCCATTTTTACGGGACGTGTCCTTGCCAGGATTTCTGTTTTGCCTAAAATATTCACGTTTTGGCTGTTTGCACTGTGCAGATCGATTGTTGTATAACATTCATGAGAGCTATAGAAAGCAGAGCAGATGGCTCCTTGCTTTCGAATCGCTCTCGCGGTACTTTGGTGTCATTCAATGATCGGTGCGCAGCGACACTTCAAGTTGAACGAACGAACGAACAAACACGTGCACGTATGTGTCACATATGAAGTTCTGCTTGTCCAAAGCACCACCTAATGTCAGAGAGTGAATTTGCATTTTCATTCAGCATGTCTGCTGCTTTTGTTGCCGTCAGTGTTGTAAATTTTAATGGTTTGATGGAAAATAAGAACAACTCAAATAATAATGTATCTAGAATTATTTGACTGTTTGATTCATAGATTGAGTATTCCAAATGGATTGCATATACACACAAAGTGTTTGACTGTCTTCTGAGGGTTTCTTACTTTCAGAATAGTCGGTTACTAGGGCTGGGTTTTGACACAAATTTCACAATTCGATTAGATTCTCATTCACAAGCTTGTGATTCGAGTCAATTACCAATTTGATTCGATTCAATATCGATTATTTTGGATATATCAGGTACAGTACATGCCAAATTTTCTTAAAGAAAAAAAATGCTGTAAAATATACATGAGAGTCAGTCGGTACTACATTATAATATTGAAGGTTAAAATGGACTGATTTGTGCTGTACAACTGCTTAAATTACACTTAAGTTTTTATAATAATTAAGTTGCAATTACTTCAGTTAGTTAATTTTTTTTTAATATACACATTTAAATAGTGGCTGTCATAAAAAATTATAATGAATGTTATATGGTGCATATATTTAGCAAAATGCCCCTCTCAACAGCTTATTTTTCTAACTTAGCTGACTAACAAGTTTATGGTCACCGAATATGCTTTCTGAGGTAAATGTGATGTTACATGAATTGTTTACAAGCTGTTATATTGCCGTATTTGCGCGGCTGAAACACTGATTGAGCGATTACATGAGACATGATATGAATTGTAAAGTTGTACTCTTTCTTTTAACTTACCTTTGGATGTTTAGTCATGTTTATTTTGTGTTGAAAGAGGTATCAATGTGGATGAGATGGTCAGTTCACGTGTGCCTCGCACTGCCGCGTCTGTTGAACTGAGGCGCTACAGCGATCGGTCACTCCACATTAAACAGCGCCAAAACGGCATTTATTGTTTAGCATTACAGTCCATTCAATGCGACCTGCAGTTTGAAAACAACTGGGTAATATAGCATCTATGATTTCAAAGTGTTCAAATCACATTGCTCTTGTCCTTCTGGCCTGTGGGAGTTTGTTTTAGGTTTAAAATGGATAATTTGAACCTGTAACAACTTCTCCACCAGTCTCTTCACTTTAATTTGGCATTTCAGACAGATTTGTGGCTGATTACGCAGCAAAATGAAAGAACATAAGGTGAAAATTTGATGGGGAAAGACATAATAAAACTTTGTTGGTACCCTTTATGGGTTTCTGTATGTTCAGATGAGCCGATCAAAATAAATGACAATTCTAGCGACATTATGTGTTGTGCTTTTACCACAAAGTTCCTGTGTTTCTGGATCTACATGTACACTGTCAGTTTCAAAACGGTGCTTTTTATGGTAACCTATTTCCATTTCAGAGGAAAAAAGAGAGCCGAAATAAAATATAAAATAAAAATATAATATATATATTTTTTTAAAATATATGAATATTAAATCTACATTTTAAGTCAGTAAGATTGTTTTAAAATAATACTTTTATTTAGCTAGTACACCTTAAATTGATCAAAAGTGACTGTAAAGATGTTTGCATTGTTACAAAAGATTTCTATTTCAAAATAAATGCTGTTCTTTTGAACTTTCTGTTCATTAAAGAAACCTGAAAAATGTTTTGCGGTTAATATATATATATATATATATATATATATGCAACATCATAAACTTTAAATAGTCATAGTACTAGGGATGTGCGAGAATAGCCAACTAGTCGACTAAACTGAACTGCTACTGTTAGTCGACATTGGAAATACTAGCTGACTAGTTGTAAATGTAGTCATTTTAATGTTTCTTTAAAAAAAATAATACAGTATTTTTTAAAAAAGTGGATATCTGGAGCTGATAAATTATTTTCATTTCACCTCAGACCTTGTGTGAATGCGGTGTGCATTTTTTTTCGTGTCACTTTCGTGTGCTTGGAAGATGAGCATGTGTAGGAGCAAAGGCCTATTTACTGGTTTAAAGGGGGAAACATTATGAATAGGGTGACCATACGGGCCATTTTTACGGGACGTGTCCTTGCCAGGATTTCTGTTTTGCCTAAAATATTCACGTTTTGGCTGTTTGCACTGTGCAGATCGATTGTTGTATAACATTCATGAGAGCTATAGAAAGCAGAGCAGATGGCTCCTTGCTTTCGAATCGCTCTCGCGGTACTTTGGTGTCATTCAATGATCGGTGCGCAGCGACACTTCAAGTTGAACGAACGAACGAACAAACACGTGCACGTATGTGTCACATATGAAGTTCTGCTTGTCCAAAGCACCACCTAATGTCAGAGAGTGAATTTGCATTTTCATTCAGCATGTCTGCTGCTTTTGTTGCCGTCAGTGTTGTAAATTTTAATGGTTTGATGGAAAATAAGAACAACTCAAATAATAATGTATCTAGAATTATTTGACTGTTTGATTCATAGATTGAGTATTCCAAATGGATTGCATATACACACAAAGTGTTTGACTGTCTTCTGAGGGTTTCTTACTTTCAGAATAGTCGGTTACTAGGGCTGGGTTTTGACACAAATTTCACAATTCGATTAGATTCTCATTCACAAGCTTGTGATTCGAGTCAATTACCAATTTGATTCGATTCAATATCTGGATATATGGATATATCAGGTACAGTACATGCCAAATTTTCTTAAAGAAAAAAAATGCTGTAAAATATACATGAGAGTACTACATTATTACATTATAATATTGAAGGTTAAAATGGACTGATTTGTGCTGTACAACTGCTTAAATTACACTTAAGTTTTTATAATAATTAAGTTGCAATTACTTCAGTTAGTTAATTTTTTTTTAATATACACATTTAAATAGTGGCTGTCATAAAAAATTATAATGAATGTTATATGGTGCATATATTTAGCAAAATGCCCCTCTCAACAGCTTATTTTTCTAACTTAGCTGACTAACAAGTTTATGGTCACCGAATATGCTTTCTGAGGTAAATGTGATGTTACATGAATTGTTTACAAGCTGTTATATTGCCGTATTTGCGCGGCTGAAACACTGATTGAGCGATTACATGAGACATGATATGAATTGTAAAGTTGTACTCTTTCTTTTAACTTACCTTTGGATGTTTAGTCATGTTTATTTTGTGTTGAAAGAGGTATCAATGTGGATGAGATGGTCAGTTCACGTGTGCCTCGCACTGCCGCGTCTGTTGAACTGAGGCGCTACAGCGATCGGTCACTCCACATTAAACAGCGCCAAAACGGCATTTATTGTTTGAATACTGCAATGCAATGGGCATAAATTGAAATCTGAGATTTTGTTTCAAGTATCAAGGCACAATGCTTATTGCGATTTATTGGATGGGAGGTGTGCTTCAATGTTTCATCCATTAACTGAAAACAGGCTAGACTAATCGATTCTTGAGATTTAAGAATCAATATTGTTTCGTAAAAATGAGAATCGATTAAAATCGAGATATCAATATTTTTTACCCAGCCCTATCGGTTACCAATTTTCTGTTCAAGCAATTTTGAAATTAGTCGTAGCGCACATCTCTAATAAGTTTGTGTAATTGTTCATTCAGCTTATGTACAGATCATAAGTCCTAAGGATGACCTTGTTTAAAAGTTTCCAATCCAGAGTTTGTGAGAAGCTACAACTTTGAAGAGCTTTGCCACAGATCAAGGCAGTTGATTGCAGTGGGTAGCTGAAGGCACTGATTGCAGAATGAGAAGAGGAAAGAGGGCATTTAATTTGGACCCTAACCGGCCATCCATCTTTCCACCACACATGGAGTTAATCAGCACTTAAGCAACGAATCTGGTGACAAGGGTGGAGAGGAAAAAAAGAGAAGGGAACAGAAGAGGAAGCAAAAAACAGGAAGGGATGGATTAGAAGGATGGAAGTAGAGAAAGAGATGAATAGCTAAATATAACAGTAGACAAGCTGACGGACACATAGATTAGCTTTCAAATTATAGCAGTCACAAGGGGGTCTTCCACTGCACTATTACTCTGTTTTGTTCAAGCTTTTTTTTTTTTTTTTTCAAAACCTCATGGACTCCTGCAAGCTGCCTTTTCTCCCTCCCCAATCTTCCTCCTTCTCTGCTCACTTCCCCTCCACTGGTCCTTCATTCCACTCTTTTCTCCACTGGGAATAGTGCGAGCTGTGTGGGGTACTCAGAGTCCCAGCATGTGTCTGGAGATTAGGAGATGAATTGAGCTGGTGGGTTTGGTTTAATGGTTGGTTTGAGCTAACAGACTGCAGGAGAGCTGCTCTCACTTCTGGGGAGGGAATGTTTGTAAAACCTTTAAAATTATCTGTAGTCCTGAACAAAAATGTAAGTTCCCTTTTGTTGAAGTGTTGAATTTTTTGAATGTTAAACCATCTTAATATGCAAAGTGAACTATGAGAAAACCATTAAAAATGATTCTAAATATAAACTCACCTTTTTATTAAAGGTCCCTTCCATTACATCAAAGTCACGCTAAAAATTAAGGTCTTATTAAACACATGCAACAAAATACTTATATCTTTCTTAGTAATGTCAGTAAGGATTAGTATCTAAACAGGCCTACGGCTTTAAGTAGTTTTTAAAAGCGTAACGAAGTAAAAGTTCAGTTTTTTTAATGTACTTGACTTAAAGTAAAAGTACCCACCCAAAGTAAATGTAATGGAGTAAATGTACTTCATTACTACCCACCACTGTTAGAAAGATTTTTAAAGACGACTGGAGTAATGACTGATGAAAATTCAGCTTTGCCATCACAAGAATATACATTTCCCGACACGACACAACAAATCCCCGACAATAAACTGCTGCCGCGTTCTATTTATGACTTATTGACACAAATTTCTAATGATTTTCAACAGTCACTTTGTCACGTCCGGTGTAGACAGACTTTAGCTGTTGCGGTGCGGTGCGAAACGACAACTGTTGCGTCCGGTGTAGACACAGTGTTATGATAAAAGGACTTATGAGTAAATATCATTCCACTGCATAACTCCATATCATGTATGTAACCAACACATTTGACTATCATGTTCTAATCATTTAATCTGCTGATTGGTCAGTTTGAATGTCTCACATTTGGTTTTTAGTCACATGGTCAAGGAAGGGATAAAAGAGGACTGTAAACGTTGCTCTGTCTCTTTTCTTTGCTGCCTCTTTTCTCTGTTGGAGCTCTTCTTGGGTCTCTGCCCTCTCTCCCTCTTTTTCTTCCTCTCTCTATATCTCTTTCTCTCAGGTAATATTTTACATGTTGGGTACAATTAACTATGCTTTACCATCCTTCATCTATTTTGTATCCAATTCAAGTGTAATCATAACAAACTATTGTTATTAAATCATTTCAATTAATAATTATGTGCCAACTAGTCTTGATTCAAGGTTAATATTAAAGTGCTACCTATTGCAATACAATGGTCACACAAAAGCAACACTCTCCCACATATTTAGCTATTCTAACTGCGCTTATTTACGTCGTTGGTATAAGTGGCAGTGGGTGGTAATAGACTAGAAATGTACAGTTTTATACCATCGTGCTGATAACGTTTCTTTAGTCATTCGGCAATCCTACAACCTGAACCACCGTAGGGAAGCCATCCTTACAAATGTCTTTCATGTTTCCTTGATTTGCGCAATCAAAAGAGTATTTTCTATTACAACTAAACATTAAAGCTAAATTAGTACATTTTAAAATCTTCTTTTTAAAAGGTTAACAACGGCTTTCTCTTTTTTCACACATCATAAAAACACAGTCTGCTTTAGATTGTGCTGCCGCTTTAGCTTTTCATCTAAAATTCAGGCAGTGTTTGAAGGATTGAGGTAAACGTATTGCAAAAAGCTCTGGAAAACATTTTATTCCAATATGGTGGACAGAGATGAAGGTAATACTGTCAAAAAATAGTTATAATTCATTAAAGATGCATTAAGCAATAGTTCACTTAAGAATCCTGTGTACTTTGTTGCAGGGCCATAACCTCCTTAGACATAGATAATCAGAAATGGCCAATGTTCAAGACATGGTTGCAGCCTTGCTTTGTTGTAGGTAAGCCTACAAGTTAACGATAATAAGCATGTTAATACCAGAATCATATGTGCTTGAGCGAAAACAGCAATAGACAAGGTTTTTGACACGGGAACAAACTTGCTCCCTTCACTAACACATAAGCTGCAGGATGATCAGCATTGCACTGGGAGCACAGAAGAGCATTGTACATTTGGCATTTTTTTCATGCAAAGTTCCCTCTGGAAACTTTGCGACTGGAAAGTGTTTTATGTGTGGACTAATGAGCCCATGCTGGCATCGAACTTGATTAAGTACCATCTCCAGTACATTAAGAGCATTACTGTAGGTTTGTTTTACTTTTTACATTTTGTTTTATTCGTAATATAATTCATTAAAGATGCATTAAGCAATAGTTCACTTAAGAATCCTGTGTACTTTGTTGCAGGGCCATAACCTCCTTAGACATAGATAATCAGAAATGGCCAATGTTCAAGACATGGTTGCAGCCTTGCTTTGTTGTAGGTAAGCCTACAAGTTAACGATAATTGCTTGATAGATGAACGATAGATGCTTGAGCGAAAACAGCAATAGACAAGGTTTTTGACATGGAAACAAACTTGCTCCCTTCACTAACACATAAGCTGCAGGATGATCAGCATTGCACTGGGAGCACAGAAGAGCATTGTACATTTGGCATTTTTTTCATGCAAAGTTCCCTCTGTTTTATGTGTGGACTAATGAGCCCATGCTGGCATCGAACTTGATTAAGTACCATCTCCAGTACATTAAGAGCATTACTGTAGGTTTGTTTTACTTTTTACATTTTGTTTTATTCGTAATTATGTTAAAAATTATAATTATGTATCAAAATCATCTGACCTCACTGCACAGGGCACATATTAAACCACATTGTTTTATTAATGGATCGATTGTGACAAATAAATTAAGGCATCATTTGGCACTTGGCACCAAATAAATGCACTTTACATAATTTTGAGGCTGTTCTTTGGATTAGTAAATTACCACGCTTTAAATTTTCATGCAAAAACCTATTAAACATCCCAACTCCAGTCAAATACTCTCAGGGACTGTGGCCTCCTGTTATCAACCTTCCAGTTGTAAGGCAGAGAGGAATATCAATTATGCCTGCTGTTCAGTCTTGGAAACTAGAGGTGGCATCCTACATCTGATAACACGGCCTTACAACAAGCCTTCATGGCACATGGCGACCTGCTGAACCATGTTGCAGTATCGTATCTGGGCGTCTGACCGAGACCCTCAGGCACTCATCCAGACACCTGAGTGCAGCAATCGGATGGACCTCTCAGCTTGTGACAAATTGCAAGAGGAAGAGAAACTTACAGGCCCCATTGAACTTTAGTATAGCTTTTATTCCTCTGTCATGTTCCTACAGAGATGAAATGGGATCATTTTTTCTCTTTCTGGTTCTCTTTTTTCATTCTCAAAGCCGTTCGCTCTGCACTGACTGGTGGATAAACGGCCTTGGTTTCGCTCTCTTTCTAACTTTGCATCAAAGGGAAAGTGATACAATGTGATTTAGTTTTCCATGGTCACTGCACAGTGCACAATTTGTATTTAACTTATTTTTAACATACTGTAAGCACAAACACAGCCATTTTAAATATGAAATTGCAAGGCTTCCAATTTCAGCCGCTTACAGTTATTTTAGCTGTGCTAAAAGAGTTCATTATGTTGCAAACTGGTTATTTATGCTATTATTTTAATTCATTATCATAATCTTAAACACTAGTTTGTAGCAGACATAGTTTTATCGTTTACTGCACCTTGTTATGCTTAATTATTTATGTATATTTATTTACCCATGTATACCTGCCTAATGAAACTGAACTTTCACACATTGACAGGAAATAGCATACTTATCTATGTTGAAAAATGTTTTTTTTTGGTGTTCCTGACAATATTGTGCTATTGGTGAGACACAGTAACTGGGCCTGAAATGTTGTTTGTAATACTTTTATAAGAACAGCCATTTATACAGAATTTATAAAAACCAAAGCTATTTATTTGTAATTATGATATATTATTTACATTATATGTTGATACAAGCCTTAGTTAATTACAACCTACATTTTATAGTTAAATCAGTGGCATTCGAAAAAGAAAACATTAATGTGAATTATGACTTTACTTCTGAATGTAAACGCATGTCGACTATTGAAGATCTCAGAATAGTGAATAATGTAGGTTACGGAGTATGTTGGTCAGCTAATGAAGTCATGGCTCAGGGCGAGTATACACATTAGCAAACAATTTTAGGTAGCAAAAACGAAATGTTCCTAGTCTATCTACTGGAAATAAATGGATTTATCTACTGGAAATAAATGGATTTAATAACACACTGTGTAATGAGAGGAACGGCACTAAAGGAACCGTGGAAGTTGGCAATAAAGTACAGCTCTGACTCCATAAAAACATGCCAAGCAATGAATATGAAATTAGTGCCACTTTTTTCCCCCACCTAATAAATATAACTAATGAAATGTCAACATAAACAAACAAATCGGTAAAAGCTGCTACGAAATAAAAGGCTGCACTTTCAACACTTACTCTGCTAGGCTTCAATTAGCACCGGCTTTTGGCTTCACCCCCTCCCAGCACTGTGTGAATCTGTACTGTCCCTGCAGAGCACGTGCCCTGGCCCCCTGCTGCCTCTGCGTCGCTCATGTTGTTGTCCGGGCCAGGCCTACATTTTTGACACACACACTGCCTCCCATTAATGATCAGCAGGGCAGCTGCAGTCCATGGCCACAGTGCCCTCGTTAGTGCCCTCATTAACAAGCAGCAGGGCACCTAATTAAACAGCTCAGTAGTTAGTATGTTGCCCTCCCTCCATTTCCTCATGAGAAACACATGAGTGGATTCAACTTATGTTCACTTATTTATCTAGTTTTCCCTCTGCTTTTTCTCACTTGGATTCCAATCCCTCACTAGTGTCATATATAATGTAAAAGAGTATTCAAACACTATAAACAGCAAACCGGCCCAAGTGCCTAATGGTGAAACTAATAGAGAAGGCTATGCATCTGTCTGTTTGTGCTCTTAAAATGCTTTTCATCCATAAATCCAACTTATTGGTTTGGTTTGATTCCCGTTTTGCTTCAATCTACATATAAAAATGAGGGAGTTTATCCCCTGCATTCCTTTTAGGCCATAAAACCAGTGATATAAGCATTGGTTACCATGGAACCAGAGGCCTGTTCTGCCTTTCTGAGGTGTTAGGTGCATTTCGGGGGAAGGGTCCATAGACCCTCGTAATTGGCCATTTGGTTAGGTGATGGGGAGTTCGATATTATTTGTTAAATATAACAAAAAGTTGTGTGTCTGATTGGTCCAAATGCTACATCAGTGTACTTTTGTAAAGTGCGATTACTGTGATTACTGCTATTATTCAACAACAATTGCACTTCAACAACAAATGTTTTAGATTAATGCTCTCATACTCATTATGTAATGCTTCTGGCGTTATTATTTAGAAGTAGATAAATGGTTTGAATTGTGACAGTGCCATCTCAACAGTTTCCAGAAACACATTTTTTAATGATGTTTTGTTTTGCTATACGATGAAAAGATATTAGTGACATGTTTCATCATCAGATTTACACTTGTTTCCAAAGCTCCTATAATCAGTGAATGATGATTTACTAGCTGTAAAATTTTTATCCCCACCTTTTTACATCCAAGACTAAAAATTATAACAAGTCATTAATCTTGTCAATCAATGGCAAGATGATATAGTAGCAATGTGGGAAACTGATTAATTTGCATAGCCATCACATTTCTGTTTTGTGAACAGATCTTTCACAAAGAACAACGCTTTTAATGATTCCCATTTGTATACACTTTGAGGCTGTTTTATCATCATTCTGCACTCTTAAGCTTTTAAAATGTGCATCCCTGACTATACCAAATGACAAGCACCTACAAACCAAACAAACAGCAGTAACTATAAGTAAAAGAAAAATCCACAAATGTCGATATCACAAACGCTTATTCATTAGAGCTCAACAGGAGACAGACAAGAGAGCAGTGGCAGAAATAGATTTTTGGCTTAATGTAAACACGTTAAACTCACCTGAAATCATAATGACTGTAGCCTGGTAAGAGGAGCAAATGCTGGCAACTTCCGTTAAAAAAAACGACCTATATAGCATGACTTAGGATATTTCCACTGCTCTTGTTTACTCTCTCATTTTGGGTTTGAGATTCTCTCTTTCAAAACAAAAGTGCAGATGACACACAGCTTTACTTTGCCTTCACGTTCCAGCCCAGTGATCACACAATGGCTGCACTGATCTCACCATGCCTTGTGGACGCCTCGACTTGGATGAAAGAACACCACCTGAACCAAATGCAGACACCATCAACAAACAATAACATCATACAGGTTAGACTTTTACAGACCACATCGCAAAGACCGCCTCAAGCTTTCATATCAGGTATAAGGCACTGAAGCTTGCATATCGAACAATCACTGGATCTAAAATCTCTCACCTACCCTTTTGCAATTCTTTATTTCCTCAAGTCTGTGGTACTAACACAAAGAGGCGCAAAATCACTTTCTGAAACTTTCACAGTTATTGCTGGAATGATTTTCCCAATTCCCTCTTTACTTCAAGAAATCCAATGAGAACCTTTATTTTTTAGAGTGTACATGATAATATCTATTATGTCACTCAGTACTTCAGATTGCATAGTTTGAAAAACACAATTTAGAGAATCTTATTGATTCAATGTAAATTAAATGAACAACAAAGGCTTTTTCAAGGGTGGTGAAACAAAAGCACCGTCAAGAATCCAAAATGAACGTATAAACTACTATTCAACACTTCCTTCTGATCCTGATCTGATCCTCACCCAGTCTGAGGATCCTGTCTGATGACGGATAAGTTAAGATTGACATACTAAGTGGCTGTGTCAGTGCCGATCATGACCTTTCCTTCACTACAAAAGGAAGTGTGTGTTTAAGCTTCCCTTCGCTAGGCAGGTCTGGGTCACCTCCATGGTAGCCGAGGCTAGTGTATTTTTGCTGATCATCCATCTTGTTGTGCCACAGAGGCCATGCATCTTTCTCTAACAAGTGAGCAGAGCAATGCATTACAGGATGAGCGGCCCACTGTTTCAACCCAAGGGAACGTGCCATGACACACCAGGTGCACAGGCCAAAATAAACAGTACAGTACAGGAGTAATGGCAAATGCACCATCAAGGACAACACAGAAGCATCCAGGCACTATTAATACCATGACCCATTCTGTATGTGTGTGTTCAGGACACAGTCTGCTGATCTTGCATAAAACAGTTCATTGACTGTGTGTAGAAGAACACAAAACTGTTGTGAGGTGGATTTAATATTATCTTTTAACTTTGGGTGTTTCCAGAAAAGTAAAAGAGGGCAGCTCAAAGGCATCACACTGGTCGCATATTTCGGTGTCACAACAATACCCCTCTCAGTAAATGCCTTCTAATGAATTTAGTATGTGATAAAATTGGTAAAAGTTCTCTGTATTTCAGAAAAAAGTCTTTCTATATCCAAGCATTTGTTCAAGATTTTTCATCAGGGAGCACTAAGCCTTGTTCTCCTGTCACTAATCCATAGCAGAAAACAGCTTTCAGGGATTAACATCAAGGGGCAGACTTGCGCTTGACAGTAGAGGTTCATGCTCTCGCTTGCCTGCCACCCACTCTAGAATCGTTCTTTACCTCACTACGAATCCCAGTCTCAAGTGTCTACTAAATGCGAGTTAACTGCTCAGTTTGACACTCCAGTAATGTGCTTTACATCACTGATCTAATCTGTGTGCACAAAGAGTTGACGTCTAGTGTTTGGTGTTACACTATTACATCTAAATGCAATCACAGATGTTGAAGCTGTTAAGTTATATCTGGAGAAAATTCACCACCATGTGGATAAATAACAGTGGATGTTTAAAAAAACGGACTTAATTAAGTATTATCAATAATTATTGTGCCTGATTACTGATTAATAGCCAATATTAAAATATATTAAATAAAATCATATATAAATGGATGTAAACTGCAAAATGAAAACTGGATATTAATTTTGGGATTTGCTAAAGATTACATTTAACAGTGTTATTCAGTTATTAGCATTTTAAAATATTTAAGTGACCTCTGTTCTTCAGGAAATTGCTGTTGTTTTTTAATGATTTTGCATAACATCATTGTATGCTAGTTTTGAAATATAAAGCCACTTCCTATTAGAATTAAAAAAAAAATCCCATCTCAGTTATGCTTTAGCTTTTGTGCTACTGTTTTTCCTCATTTGTAAGTAATTTCAGGTTAAAAGCATGTGCTAAATGTAAATGTTTTACTGATTACCGTTCGTTTCTAATTAAACCAAACGAGTTAAAATGATAACTGAAACAGTGTTACCATTAGACAGAATGTAGACAGTAATGTGGACCATTTTCTGTAAATCTCACAGGGGAAGGGAGAAGGAGTGATTGAAAGTAAAATGAGGGCAGGAACAGCTGCCAACAAGAGACAGTGGATCTGGCAAGAGACCAGTTAGCTATTACTCACACTTACTGTCCTGCCCTTATGCTACTGTAGCCTCTATATTCTGACCAGACCTCAGTCTGAACCTGTAAATTCTCTCTAAAAGCATTTTACCAAATAGTTAAAACCTGAAATTGGGAAAACAGCACTTGAACAAAGACCTACCACACTACTGCAGCTATTGCGTCCACTGAGAAAAACATTAGAGCATTAGCTCCTTACCACAGTAACTCAGAATTCTGCTCAAGAAATCACAGGCTTCTCTTGCAAACCCCTAGGAAAAAAAGTCAATGTAATGAGATCTAATCTTACCTCTGTTTCACTTTTCATTTTCCCTAACTCTGCAAAAATTCCTGTTACTGGCTTTGATTTCATGTTTTACCTAGTTTGCCGTCTTTTTCTGTTCTTGGAAAAACTGATGATAAGTGAATGAGGAGTAAGATTAAAGTGAAGCAGTAGCTGTCAGAGATCAATGTGCTCCAAAACGAGATTGAGCATCTCTTGTAGAGTCCTAATGGAGTCATAAATACCCAGAATAAAATAAAACTTTGCCTACTTGAAGTTAGCAATCCCACCAGGCAATAGGCAATACCACCATTCCTACATCTTTGGTGAATGCTTTGTTATCAGACACTTTAGAATGAAAGCAAGACTATTTAGTCAATCACAACTGGGTTTCCAAGAGCAAAAACTCTGCACCTGCACCTAAAGCAAAGGGAATTTCTGAAATATTTCCTTTCTTTTAATTTAGCCAATCTGGATCTGAGACTGTAAGTTCTAGTTATGTTCTGCCCGCTGTCTATATTTTTGTTTCAATTTTTATTTCTTTCTTTTTGTGTTAGAAAGCCCTGGAGGTTGCATACACAGTCATCCAGGTCTTTTCGTTGAGTTAGCTCGCCCCTCTGAGCTCACAGGCAGACGGTCTCTCCCTTCGGGATGTCTGTGTGGGCATAAATATCAAGCCCAGGGACCAAAACAGAGGTCAGAATCAGCAAGTGTTTTTCTGCTTACACCAGATCAGCAGCCTAATCATTAGGTTTCACCACAGCACCCAACAACTATTCCCCATTTCTTTTGCTTTTTTTTGCTTCTCTGAAGAGGCCATTTTTTTCTGTCCTGTCTGTAGTCCTCTTAAAAAATGCTAGCGCAACCATGCTGTAACATTGTTGTGTACTGTGTGTCATGCCTTCAATTACTTTGATAAATGCGGTTCTGGCTGTGACCGTGTTTTGTTACAGTGCATTCATAATTTATGGCTTGCACATATACTCTCAAATCAGGGTAAATTATGACTTTTCTCTCTTCTACTGCAACTAAGGTATCCAAATAATGTTATATCAGCACATTATACTAGTGCAAGGGCATCAATGTAAGAATATTACAGAATGGAGAATAAAAAGGGCTGAACCTGAATGAGGCCACGAGGAGGGGGGAGTACAAGGAGAAAAGAGGAGAAAAACAGACTCATTACCGAAGGCCAGAGTTTAAGATTTTTATCCGATCTTTTGATTATGTCTGTTCTCTCAATGACATTGAGCAGGTTAAACGTCATTGAGGGCATTTGACTTGATGCCTTAATGATATTTTAGTGTTCAAGAAGGTTAGGAAATAGTACTTAAGAAAAGCTCCCACACTGAAGATAAAATGTAGATTGTGATGGGTTAGCAATGCCAGCCTGGCATGTCTGATGTTGCAATTTGTCAGCTGCTTTGTGGAAGGGCCTTTTAAATGCTTTCAAAGTGAATGTGTGATCAGTGCAAATTAATTCTGCGATAGCAAAACTGACATTTTTCTCAGTAGTAAAGTGCAGAGGTGGAAAGAGTATGAAAATATTCTACTTAAGTAAAAGTACCATTATGTTAATGGAATTTTACTTAAGTACAAGTAAAAGTACCAGTCTAAAAATCTACTCAAGTAAAAGTAAAAAGTAGCTTGTTTAAAATGTACTCTGAGTAAAAATTATTTACATTTTAACAGTGGGAGGGAGGCAAAAATGGGATAGGCCAAGGGTGTCAATTTCAGTTCCTGGAGGGCCACAGCCCTGCAACAGTTTAGCTATAACCCTAATTAAACACATCTGATCCAGCTAATCTAATCATTTAGGCTTATTTGAAAACTACATGGTATGTGTGTTGGACCTAAACTCTGCAGGGCTGCGGCCCTCCAGGAACTGAGTTTGACACCCCTGGGATAGGCCTATACAGGTGCATCTCAATAAATTAGAATGTCGTGGAAAAGTTCATTTATTTCAGTAATTCAACTCAAATTGTGAAACTTGTGTATTAAATAAATTCAATGCACACAGACTGAATTAGTTTAAGTCTTTGGTTCTTTTAATTGTGATGATTCTGGCTCACATTTAACATTTCTAAAATCCACATAAGTGGTAAGTGTGCACGTTATGCTTTGCCCACTTTTCTAAAATCCTGTATGGTAAGAGCTACGCGCAACGACTTCGTGCTCTTTCTGAGTGGTTTAAAACCCCGGTTCCGCCTTGGGCACCACTCCTCCTATCTTCTGGATACCTACTTAACAGGGTGTTGCTACTAACGGTCTGTTGAGACAGTTCCTTCAGCACATATAAAGAGAAACGTGCGGTAGCCCTAGTGTGACAGGCAAAGACTAGTATGATTCTAGGCTCTTGGTCGTATTCCCTTAAAGGAATCTATTCCTGATTCCAAGCCTTGAGCTCTACCCCGGGCCCAGGAGTCTGGCCCTGACAGGTAAATATTTTGGGGTATGTAGCCTAGGGAATAACATCACTGACAGCCGTCTAACGTCCCAGGGGCGACTTCCATAGCAATATGGTAGAGTTGGTACTTAGTGCTCGCCATGGTTCTGGCATGCACTCCCCTGGTGTGGTGCGTGGGTATACCGTTCCCCATAGCGACCCCTAGAGGATTCAGTTCAAAGTTCCCATGAAAGGGAACGTCTCAGGTTACTTATGTAACCATGGTTCCCTGAGTAGGGAACGAGACACGCATCCTCTAGGTTTCTTGCCATGCTGCGGACGCAAGCTTCAGACGAAGAAGTGAATGATGTGTGCTCCCGGCGCCTATTTATACTATAGTCACACCGGTAGTGACGCCATGGCTGTCGAGTTGGTGTTGGTGTTTTTTCAATGTATGCTTCAGACACGGGTCCCGACGAGGCGTTCCCCATAGCGACCCCTAGATGACGCAGTGTCTCATTCCCTACTCAGGGAACCATGGTTACATAAGTAACCTGAGACGTTTTTTTTATTGGTCTTATGAAGTATTCTAATTTGTTGAGATCATACAGGCAGGAGTACTGTTGCCACAGCTCCACAAACCTTTCCTCCATCTCATAATTCCACCTAGCAGCACCATTATCTCTCTTTCGTTTCGCAAGTTTGAAACCTGTGTATGAAAGAGCTTCTGTGCTGCTATTGGTCAACGTCACCAATGTGACAGAACTCGTCGTGGACGACGAAAAAAAAAAATGCTACTCTTTCTGTCGTGATGTCATGAAGCATTGCAGACGCGGAATCGGTTGTCGTCCACTATGACACACTACACGTGCTGAAACGATGGAATTTTGCGTCCCGACGCCCATTGTCGTTTACGAATACCCACGACACCCTACGTCAAGCAAATCGTGGCAAAATCGGCCTAAAATCGTGTAGTGAAAACCGGGCATCAAGCAGAATATGACAGGCGTTAGTGGTGCAGGCCCAGCTGAAAACGAAACCCTGTCTTGTCCGTCTGCATCTTTCTTATGATTTTAGCGCCAGTTTGCTTACTGCAGTAGTTTCCAGCGTCCTATTTATTTATTTTTACTCAGTAATTAATGTGTTTTAAAATGTAGCAAAGTACAATACTTCAAACTAAATATACTTAAGTAAAATTACAGATAAAAAAAAATACTTTAAAAAGTAGAAGTACACAAAAAGCTACTCAATTACAGTAACACGAGTAAATGTAATTCGTTACTTTCCACCTCTGGTAAAGTGTAATTACCTTTCATGTTAATACAAACCTACTAGAGCTCCATTTAAATTATTGTTATTAAGAACATAAAATATAATAGAACCAAAATGTTCAGTGCAAGCCTATCCTCATTTCATTTCCCGCATCTTCCATACCCAGCAATCTCCATTTTGTCTATGTAAGGACGTAGCAACCATTATAAGCCCTCCACTTTTTTTTTTTTTTTGAAATTGTTTTTTAGAAACTTGCCCCCCTCCACTTTTTAGGCAATATTATATTTTAAGAGCATAGTTCTTCTTGAGTGCAGCCCATCGAAAAAAACTAGCTGTCCGCAAAAGACAATAGCTTTGAAGGGATGAAAATTTAAAAATCTGTCATAATTTACTTACCCTCGTGTCATTCCAAACCGTTATTTTATTATGTGGAGCACAAAAGGAGATATTTTGAAAGTCAACAACTTTGGACCCCAAAAAGTTTTATTCTGTGGACAAAAAGTCATTTTTTCAAAATAACTACTTTTGTGTTCAACAAACAAAAGAAAGTCAAGGAAAGTCAGCTTTGTAATGACATAAGGGTGAGTAAAATGATGACCTTTTAATTTCTGGATGAACTCTTGTATCTCTTTAAGACCAAGCAGAAGCCTGAAGCTAAAAAAATGCGCAATCGGTCAGCAGTAATCCTAACAAGGCTTTTTTGCTTTTCAGCAAATCATTTACAACTACTGGGCTATGCTATTTCATTTTAAAAGTAAATACTTGTGAGCTTGACTGATAAGGTTTATAATGCCACTCCATATATCGTCTTACATTCCTGCACCTATAGTTCTCATTCAGGTCAGGCCGACTGAAAACCGCAAGCCTTTTGCTTACGACTTTACTTCCTTTTTCATCCTACCCTGTGAAAATGAGTTTGCAACCTTTAAAAATGTTAAATTGAGTATAGCTGTGGAGGTCACGGATGCTGGATAGAGCCTGTATGAAGACACAGATAGTGTGGGGCATATATGAAAAAGTGTGGAGAAGCACTTGGTTTTATTTAGCAAGTGGAGTTTGCTCCCAGTCATCAAATCGCACCCGCAGAGAAGAGCTGATGTGGCTGAAACGCTAGGAGACCTAAATAAGCTCAATCAACGGCAGCGATAATATTTCATATCCCCTGGCTCTCGTTTTGTTTTTTGTTCTCCTCCTACCTCCCGGACAGGAGAACATTTTTCAGCTGGGCTCATCACCCCACCCGACCTCTCAAGAGTCAACCAGCCTTCCCATTAATTGCGATCCCTGAGCTTACAGTCCACAGAGCTATAGGGAAAAGTAGCAGAAAAACCAGGACAAGTCCCCTCCAACTCACATCGTTTCATGTCATTCCATGTCAGCATGAAAACAATGCCCTGCTGGGGTGAACATGTAAAAAATAAAATGAAAAAATGCTGTACAGAAAGGTGTAGCTCATTAATCATTGGCTTGAAAAAGGCTGAGCGAGTCGCACATGTGCTTCTGCAGCTAGAGGTAAGAGAGATTCATCTGTTTTTCTTTAAGCCAAGCTCTGTCATGGCCGGTGGTGACTTTGAGCTAGAACACCAGGAGCATTGTGTGTGTGTGTGTGTGTGTGTGTGTGTGCGTGTGCATATGTGTATGTGTTGGGGGCGGCTTCGGAATCCGCTTCTCTAGCCAGAGGCAATGATGGTTAGTCATTGCACAGTAACAAGCCCTCTGGAACAGCCCTTTCTCTTTCCTGCCTGGATTTTTGGCATCTGTACACTTTAAAAAGTCCCAGACCAAAAATACTTCTACATGATTCACCTGGTGAAGAGACGGCGCCTTGAGCGGCTCGCAATGAGTCTGTGCGAAGCGATGCCAAGGATATAGATACATGACACATTCGTGTTTATGAGGAATCCTTTAAATAGGGGACAATTCTAGCAATCCACCCATGAGAACAATAGGCCCCATTTGATATGCTTTCAATCAATATCTCCAGAGTGGAGTGAAAGTTCAGCTCTGTGGGGTGCCATGATATCGAAGGACAAGTGGAAATAAATTACTCCACCCTCCACTAGGCACATATGCTAACGCATTTTCATAAAAATAGGCTTGGTGCAATTAGCACATGCATTTTTTTACCACCTCAAATTGTTCTCTCATGACACATACACACATCCACGGACAAAAAGTCACACGTGCATGCAGCTAAAACAACACCCTGATGAAAATTGACACTCAACTCCTCGTTTTTTATCACGGTGTGAAAAATTACTCCTCTATAGTAAGTGGGAGGCTGAGAAAATGAGACCCTTTACAACAACCGGATCTGTGTTATTCCGTATATGATCAGTGATGCATGCAACAGGGTTGTATGCCATTTATGGAATGAGAATGCCTTTTAAATTCCATTTGCTGGATATAAATTGAGGGGGCAAACAGTAAATAGAATTCAAATTCAAATCTGAATGTAAAGAAGTACAATTAAAATAACTGTAATAAAATAACAAAAACTTTGATGTTAAACATTTCAACATGTCAAAACTTTGAATGTTGCCTTGGACAAACCTTGCTTGAAAATGGTTTAAAAAATGTTTGAAAGGTTTATGGACCAATATTTTTGACAATGATTTCCCCAAATCCATTAAAATCCATTTTTTTATGAAATGTCCCAGTTTTAATGTAAATGACTTATCCATTTATATTACATATACATTTAGTCATTTAGCAGACACTTTTAAATGTTAAACATTTCAACATGTCAAAACTTTGAATGTTGCCTTGGACAAACCTTGCTTGAAAATGGTTTAAAAAATGTTTGAAAGGTTTATGGACCAATATTTTTGACAATGATTTCCCCAAATCCATTCAAATCCATTTTTTTATGAAATGTCCCAGTTTTAATGTAAATGACTTATCCATTTAT